TTCCACTGGAACATGGGGTCGCAACTTGTCAAGTAGAGACGTGTTCAGAAAGTCGGCCAAAAATAAAGGCTCAATGAACACCTTATAATTTCTATAACGAATCGAAACATGGTTGTTGGGTTGAATGAACGAGCGGAGTTTACGAACCACAAAAATTGGGTTATTGTCAGAAATTCAAAAATTATGAATGAAGACCAAATTAAAATTTCATTATAATTGCCATAAACATAGTCCAGATATTTACCGGACACAGGCCGTGTAATACCACTTATATTTTGAGAAAACCTAAAACCAACTAAGAGATTAAACAAGTAGTGATTACTATTTCAAAAACATACGTGTCTTTGCCTTCTATGTAATGTCTTCCAATGTTATGAGCTAACATTGTTACGTAATGTACGTCATTGTCAATAAAAGATGCACCATTGTTTCCTGCCGTGGGCCGAAGTGATCGGTGTAATGAATTAACAGCTGCACGTGGGCACACACTTGAAATGAAAATCTTGGCTGCTGGATTAATAACTGTTAATGTTTAATAATGTCTATGTACACTAATTGACGATATCGTGTTTAAAAATACTATTTTAACATTAACATTATTATCTACACTGAATGAAAACCAAGTTGCTATTTGCAATAAAGTCTGACATATAGTCAATACACCTGGGAAACATCAGGGAAAACCGCCTGACATGGAAATAACTTCGGTTGTATCTACTTGAATCAATATCACAGAGAAGTGAATCTCCCATAATAATTGAATTACGCTGGTTATCAGATACAGATTTATTGGGCGGAGCTTGCAATGGAGATTGATTGCTGTCACAGTGCTCCCAGTGGTACGATATCGAACATACAGTGAGATACACATAACAGATTTAAATACGACTGATATTCTATCATTCCATGATGTTAATTGGTTAATTGAAACATGTTGTGGTAGCTGATGTATGCTGATAGGTCGATAATAGGATTGGCTTATTATTGAATCGACATTAGATTGTTATATATTACAATGGCAATATTCAATTCAGTGGGAATATTCTCAAGCGTCGTTCAGTGTGGGAATCATTCTGTGTTGAATTACGTACATAAAACATAATTGAACCATGGAGGTATCTGTTTATACCTCCATGATTGAACTAACTTTGGGGATAGGATCACACTTTTGTACTTTTTGCGTGGGGAATGATTTACAATTAATGGAGCTCAGGAGAATATTTGCGAGTGTGTATGGTATTTATTTTCTGATGGTCGTCGCTCCAAGCATAATATGTCTTAGGTTT